CCATCTTGGAGGTCATCTTGGGCTCTCGGAGGCGCTGTTGGAGCCGTCTTTGGTCATCTTTCTTGGACGCTTTGACCCCTCGCCGCCCCCCCCCGTCCAGGTCCAGGGGAGGGGGTGAGATGTAGGGGTCAAGACATCTACAAGGAGCAAGCCGTGTAGCTCACTCCCACCCGCCCTCCCAACACAGAAGTAACGGAGCAAGAATTTGAACCTCCGAACAAACTCTGCCAACAACCACTGCAAAGGTCCCGACGGGACAGTCGCAGTCCCGCCAGCTACGGATCGAGTGCGACAGGAGAGGTGGGCGCGCCCGCCAGCGGGGTGCTCCTGGCGCCCGTCGCGCAGCGCGTGCCCCTCGCGCCAGCCTCGCCAGGATGGCAGAAGACAGAAGGATCGGCGCGCTGCTTGGCAGGCCTCTTGGAACCCTCTTGGCAGGTCTCTTGGATCGCTCTTGGAGCCTCTTGGAGGCCTCTTGGCCGTCTTGGGGCCATCTTGGGCGTCTTGGAGCGCTCTTGGGCCGTCTGGGAGCCCTCTTGGGCCCTCCTGGGCGCTTCTTGGGGCCATCCTGGCTCGTCTTGGGGCCCTGTGGCCTCTGGAAGATCCACGCGACCGAACCCAAGAGCGCCCAGATGCTCCGATGTGGAGGCAGAATGTGTTTTGTATGGTTTTTGAGAGGGATGGTGTGGGGGGGAGCCCTCGTGGTGTGCGCATGGTTCCGGGTTGGCTGCCAGCCGGGGGCGGGGAGGGGGTGTTTATGAATAGGGAGCAGTGATCAAGCTCCCCACCCGCCCGCAAGCCGTGCAGCTCACTTCCAACCGCTCTCCCAACACAAAAGTAACAACCGAACCTGAGCATGCTCAGCGGTCGCCTTTGGATGGGCAGCTATTGGGAACCAAAACCGACCCCATGTGCGCGACGCTGGGGCCCGAGCGTGCCAGGCACGTCTGGTGCACCAGATGCGTCGCGTGTTCCGCGTGCGCCAGGTGTGCTGCATACGCCAGCCGCGCCAGGTGCGCCACGTTCGGGGCACGTGCAGATTGTGTCATGTGCGCGCCTGCGCACGTGACAGCACACATCGGGAAACATGTCGGCCCCCACCATCCTTGTCGAAAACCAATGCCCATCATTGTGTCTGGTGGGCCTGCGCACGGCAGGCCATACGTCAGCATCCCCGCCGTCCTTGTCGAAAACCAGTTGACAGTGATCGCGGGGTGGCCGCGCATGACCCAGATTTAGCCGGGAATCTCATTTTTTGTTTCAGGGATGGTGGCCCTGCGCGCAGCAGGGAATATGCTGATACCTCCCCCGTCCTTGTCAAAAACAATGCAACGTGCTCGCGGGCCCCACGAACATGACTCGAGACTTTGCCCCAACATGTACTTGGTATTGTTTTTCGACAGGGATGGTGTGGGGGCCACATCGGGTTGGCCGCGCATGCTCCAAATGTGGAGGCAGAGTGCGTCTTGTATTGTTTTTTTTGACAGGGCTGAGGGTGGTGGTGGCCCGCATGGGGTAGGCATGGTTCCGGGTTTGCCGCCAGCCTGGTGGAGATGGGGGTGTCTATGAATAGGGAACAGTGGTCAACCCCACCTGCGCCCAGAGGTCTGGTGGGATTGAGGATGAGCAGGAGGATGGAGAGTTGGAGTTGGAGTTGTCCTTTAAGGAGGAGGAGGAGGAGGAGGAGGAGGAGGAGGAGGAGGAGGAGGAGGAGGAGGAGGAGGAGGAGAAGGAGGAGGAGGAGGGAGGAGGGAGGAGGGAGGAGGGAGGAGGAGGGAGGAGGAGGAGGAGGAGGAGGAGGAGGAGGAGGAGGAGGAGGTGGAGGAGGAGGAGGAGGAATTAGAAAAGTTGGAGGAGGAGTTTGTGCTGCAACTGCACTCATGCGCACCTTCTCACATGGTCTCTTCCAAATGTCGCAGTCGGCCAGGCAAGATCCTACGAACATCCATAGTAGGAAGACCGCCAGAAGCCAATCATGGTCATCTTAGTACTCCTTCCCACGCCACCGCATTGGCAGAGCTGAGGTTGAGGAGGGCCCCCGGAGCAGAGACTGCTCTACTGCCTGCGTTTGCCACCTCTACAGCCGCGCTGCACGCGCGCCCCATCCTGCATTCTCGCACTTTCACACGCACAGAAATGGGACCGAGGACTGTCCAACGAACACACCGTTTCCTGAGCCAGCGACTGTCTGTCCGCCCCTGCACACGTTCGCTATGCAATTGCTCTTTTGAAGCAGATGAAGCAGACTGTGGTACACTTCCTCGATAGCTGGGATTTCCTTGTGATAGTCACAATGGCACCCGTTGACACTAAGCCAATGCCAATGCCTCTCTGCTATTTGTTTGCGAACGGAAGGCTTACGAGCACAAAGCAGAGCCCCATCCTAAGCCGAAGCGCTAACGTGGCAGCCAGCCAAGGGGCCTGGCCAAGGAGGCAGCGTTCTTGGAAGATAATATGACCTGAGCCCCTTCGCTAGAGATGGGGAGCGAGGTTTATAATACTAATGATACCAATCGTCATTTTGTGATACTAGCAGTATTACCGATACTAATACTAAATAACAAGCAGCGGGCGACCAATATTAGTCAGAACATCTTTTAGAATACGAATAACGAAGAGAAGTCTGATACGGATGATGAGGAGGGGGATGCGGAATATGAGGAATGATGATGTTGATCATGATGCAGATTCTGATGACGGTGGTGGTGCTGATGATGACGATGATGCTGATGTTGATGCTGATGCTGATGATGCTGATGATGCTGATGATGGTGCTGCTGATGGCGATTAGGATTCTGATAATGCTGCTGATGATGGTGGTGGTGATGATGCTGATGATGCAGATGAAGATGCGGCTGCTGATGATGCTGGTGATGATGATGATGCTGTAGGTGTTGCTGCTGTTGATGCTGATGACAGTGATGCTGGTGATGATGCTGATGCTGATGATGCTGCCGATGATAATGATGGTGTTGATAATGACGACGAAGAGGCTGCTGATGATGCTGCTGCTGATGATGATGCTGCTGATGATGAAGATGATGGAGATGCCGATGATGATGATGCTGATGATGATGCTGATGCTGATGATGATGCTGATGATGATGATCATGCTGATGATGCTGCTGATGATGATGATAATGGTGATGGTGATGGTGATGGTGATTATGGCTATGATGATGACGATGATGATGATGATGATGATGATGATGATGATGATGATTATGATGATGATGATGATGATGATGATGATGATGATGATGATGATGATGATGATGATGATGATGATGATGATGATGATGATGATGATGATGATGCTGCTGATGATGATGATGATGATGATGATGATGATGATGATGATGATGATGATGATGATGATGATGATGATGCTGATGCGGATGCTGATGCTGATGATGATGATGATGATGATGATGATGATGATGATGATGATGATGATGATGATGATGATGATGATGATGATGATGATGATGATGATGAGATGATGATCATGTGAGGAGGAGGAGGAGGAGGAGGAGGAGGAGGAGGAGGAGGAGGAGGAGGAGGAGGAGGAGGAGGACCCCCCCGGCTTGCGTGCTCGCCCTCGCCACGTTCGTCTTGTGTAGGGCGGTGGCGGCGGAAAGATGATTGCGTGGACATTTCGCAAGGTTCGCCGCGCAACAGTTCCTGGCGCCGCGTTTCTTGGCCCCCGCCAGAGGGGGATAATCATGACTACCCTTACCCCAGACGTTTTTTTGCCGTTTGTTTTTGTTTTCCGTCCGCCAGCCCGTGGATGTCTCGACCCCCTCTGGTTCATTTCTGATGACTCAGAGGCCAGGAAACAAAAGGCTCCTGGAGGCCGAGATAGAGAAAGCATGGCGGGATTGGAAAAACCAATCCTCCCGAAGTCCAGGGGATGGGAGGAGGATGAGGAGGAGGATGAGGAGGAGGATGAGGAGGAGATGGGGCAACGTCAGGGGGATGCATTGGCTTCTGTGGGGAAATCATCGTCCCCCAATCGCCCACTCATCGCCAATCGGGCCTGATGGTCCACCCCGCCCAGGAGCGTGCGGATTCGCTGTCGGGGGCCCATTGCCGATGTGTCGGGGATGTCGATTCGAGCTCGATGTTCTCCCCCCCCCTCCCTCTCCGAGCCCGTCACCCCGAACGTTCCTTCTCAATCTGTCCACCTGCACCATGCCCAGCCAGGGCAGTCCTCGGCCCTCGGACGGTGTGCAGACCCTCCCGGACTCGGCCAGGAGACGGTACAGCTTCGAGGCGGAGGAGGAGGGGGATCTTACCGCTGCACGCTCTATTACGCATGCCCTCCAACATGCGCACCTCCTGGACGCGGACCTGCGACACCATGAAGGCCCCGACCAGGCAGATCTCGAGTAGATCACTTACCGATGGCCGTCGCGACGATGAAACGCTGCTCGAGCATTGACGGCCAGCACCAGGGACAAAGGAGCATGTCGCAGTCCTCGCACCAAAGCGCCTCGGAGTCCGACCCGTCGGCCTCAGCAATGACGATAAAGCAGCAGTCACACGTACGCTCCACGAAAGACGGGATAATGAAAGCGTCGATGCACCGGAACACATGGATGGCGGCGCATGGATCCAGGAGGCCTCCCCTTCGCAGCAGGGAAGCTACCCGCCTCAACGGTGAAGAACACGTCGCTGAAACCGTCGCCATTGCTGGAGGCAATCTCGAGGTCAGCGCTTGCGACGATGGCATCACAGCTGGGTCTATCAGCGTCCACGTCGGTGCACCCGCACACCTGCTCCGAATCCCGCGGCTCCGTGGCAGCGAACCCCGACGAGGGCCCATCCGAGCACGAAAGCGCCTGCGAGAGGTGGGGTGCGACAGCCGTACCACACCTTACTGCCTCCTTCTCTTCAGCCTCGAAACTGGTCAGGCGAGGGGGGCAGGGTTCCCAGAGTGGCACCCAAAGGCCCTGCAGGAGGCTAAAGGGAGCCAGACCTGCAGGCCAACCCACGATCTCCTGCTGCTGCAACTGCTCCGCGAAACTGCAGGGGGCCTTCACCATGGCCTGCACTACGAAGTCCTCGTCGGGGAACCCGCTCCATACCCGCCGCCAGGCACGAAGGGCACGGCATGCTGGGAGGGGACCTGCACAGCGCCGACGCCGCCGACGGCGCCCGAGCACGCGTCCACACCCCCCTGGCTCCGCACGCTGCCCCTGGCCTCGAGCCTAGGTCCGTGCTGAGACTGCCGAAGGGTTGGCGCGTCCGCCGTGTCGATGGCGACACCTGGCGCATCAGAGTGAAGCGCCACGTTCCTGCGCAGCCTCGCCAGCCACCGGGGAGAGCGCCCCTCGAGCATCGCCGTCGGCGCCGGGAGAACGGCGCGAATGCGCACCGCCACCTTTGCGCCGTCCAGCAGCCCGTCCAGCGCCCCCACAGCTGCTTCCAGCTCGGCCTTGGTGCGGGCCAGCTCGCCAGAGAGCTTGACTACGGCCCTGTCCGCGGAGAGGCGAGCCCAATCGCGCGCTGCCTTGCGCTCGCCAGGCCAGCGCATCGGACGGGCAACGCCCCCGTCCTCCCGCGCCATCGCTCCGCGAGCCCAAAGCTCCGCTCCCCCAAGTCCCCCACGCTTGCCCCGTGAAGCTGGGGTCTCGGGGTACGCAGGAGGAGGAAGAGGTGGAGGAGGAGGAGGAGGGGGGGAGGAGGAGGAGGAGGAGATGCCCCCTCGATCCAGTGCCCACCCTTCCGTTTCGAGTCGGAGATCGAAAACGGTCGGACCGAGGTATATGATCGAGATCGGTTCAGCCAGGATACCCTCATGTTCTTCGTGTTTGTTGGATGTTCTTGTGCATCTTGGGGGAGGGTACCCTCGAATGTTATTCAGCTTGGCCGGCGGAGGGTCTGATGTTCTTGGAGGATGTTCTTTTGTCCTAGGTCCGGCTGTGCAGAATTGGTTTGCCCCACAATTGCATTTTCGGCGAATCTACGAACAGTGCCTAGAATGCTCAGTAGAATTTGCCACACAGTTTGTCGAAATTTCGTAGCAGTCGGCGTATTTTGTGGTAAACCTGGACGAAGGAAGAATCGAGTGTGGGGTAAACCAATTCTGTGCTCGATCTCCTCCTCGAACGTTCCCCCTGAGGCGCGCCTCCTCCCCCCTGGCGCGCCAGGCCAAGGCGAAGGCTTCGAGGGGCTCCTCAGGCCGGCGAGCCGTCTCTGCCGGGCGGGCCGCGCGCGGGGGCCCAGGGCAGAGGGCATCGCCAGCGCGCGAGGGGCTAGGGTGTGTGTGTGTGTGTGAAGACCGATCCTCTCCTCCTTCTACCCATCCATCCTGCAATCCTCTCGGCTCAAGGTATTGGACAGCGTGCCCGATGACTATCGGGCCGTGAGAGCGGACAGGATGCTTTCACTCTCTCATCTCGTCCTCTACCCACGGATGCGACGGTAGGTTCGACCCTTCGGTTCGTAACCTCCGTTCGCAGAGGGAGTGTAGCTTGGCATCGCTCGGACGTGTGCGTCTTTTTCCTCGGCGGGGGCCATCGAGGAGCGGCTTGGATCCTCTCACGAAGCACTACGCGCACGAGGAGTCGAAACGTGCGCGGGGAACGGGCGTCCAGGCGATGGCGAGGTGAGGATGAATGGATGGATTGGTGGATGGGGGGAGGACGGGGATTATGATGTGGGTGAGGATGAGGATGATGAAGCTGAGGATGTTAATCAGGATGACAATGACGATGATGACGGTGACGATGACCATGATGGCCATGATGACGATGACCAGGATGACGATGACGATGGCGATGACGATGGTAACGATGACGACGATGACGATTACGATGATGATGATGATGATGATGATGATGATGATGATGATGATGATGATGATGATGATGATGATGATGATTATGATGATGATGATGATGATGATGATGATGATGATGATGATGATGATGATGATGATGATGCTGATGATGATGATGATGACGCTGACGGTGGTCATGATGGTAATGCTGAGAATCCAAAAGCCCATACAAGTGCGACGGTTCAAAACGGTGTTGGGGCATTGCTTTGATTTGGCAAATCAGTTTCCAACACTGTTTTGACCTATGCGGAGATTTTGGCCAGAAAGGGGACAGCAGCAGCAATAGCGCCCTCGGCGTACCCTTTCGACGTCATCGCAGCTGCGCCTTCGTTCTCCGTCCGCTCTCCTACTAAATGAAGGTGCCTCCTCCTCCTCCTTCTCCTCCTCTGTCCTCTTGCGCCTTTCGCTCACCTGCTCTTCTCTCCATACCTATAGGCTTACGCCACATCCGCCGACCCCTTGATCGTCCTGGGACGTACTTGTGTTGTCGTGTTTCTTTGGGTGGGCGGGCTCGAGGCTCTTCTGGGCCATCCCCGAACGAGTCTGGGGGCATGTGGGCCGTTCACGGGGCGAATCCCGCCACCTTGCGCGGTACACAGGTAAGGGGCCACACGGATGGTGAAGAACCTGACGGGGTCGTCTTGCAGGTAGTCTAGGGGCCTCTTGGGGACTTCCTCGCGGCTTCTTGGAGGCCTCGGAGGTTATCTCGGAGGTCCCGCAGGCCCTTTTGGGGTGTTCTTGGAGCAGGCTGGGAGCGTCTTGGAACCGAAGGCTCGACAAGGTGCCCTGTGGACTCCGTGTTGGAGCCGTCTGGGGGCCCTCTTGGGCTGTCTTGGGGGCTTCGTGGGCTGTTGTTGGGCCCTCAACGACCGTGCTTTGGGGCCCCTTTGGCCGTCTGGGAGCGATGTTGAAGGTTTCTGTGCCTGTTGTGGACGTTGTGATTGCCGGGTAGGCGAGCATGCGGAGTGACGCGTGGTTTTCGAAGGATATGGGCCGATGTTTGTTTCTTGCGACCCTCTCGGGGCGCATCTTGGGGGCCTTTTTGGGGCGTCTTGGCAGCTTCGGAGACCGCCTGGAGGCCATCGTGGGCGTCTGGGGGCGCTATGTCGGCGAACCCTGGTCCCCGGGGCCGTCCGGGGAGCGTTTCGGTATCTTTTTGGCGGGTTTCGGTATTTTTTTGATGAGTTTTGGAGCCCCGTGGCGCGTTCGGCCCGTGGTCGGGCCAGGCCCGGGTGGTGGTGGTGTCGAATTGCCGGTTTGGGGTCCTTGGGGAGGGATTGTGGGAGGGGAATAATCTCACGCGCCTGGAGACCCACAAGGGGTCGGCGGATTTTCCAACCAGTCTCCCTCCTCCGCCTCGTTCCCTCCTCGCATTCGCCTTCCTTTCCCATCCTCGCGCTCCCTTCCTTTCTCCCTTCTCTGTCGGGCCACGAAGGTTTAGCCCCTGGGACCAGAAAGTCCCTTGGCATCTCACGCGGAATTTTCAACCTTATGAATAGCTTCGCTCATTCCGCGGGTCCATATTGCGTGCCTTGGAAGCCTTGTGGGGCTTCCTGGGGGCCTATTTGGGCGCAAGGCTCGAATTGTCGGTTCGGGTTCGTTTTGGGGGTCTCCTTGGCTGTCTTGGGCGCCTGTTGAGCCGTTTCGGGGCTGTCTCGAGATGTCCTGGGACTCTCTTGGGGGCCTCTCGGGCCGTATTAAGGCGGTCTTGGGGGCCCCCGTCCTGGAGCTTCGGACGCTCGAAGAGGCGATGGCGTTAATTTTGTCTCAGTGGGCCCTCTTGGGGGACCTTTTGGAACGCTCCAGGGTTTTTTTCGGGGCCTCTTCGGCTGTGGTGGCATCTTCGGCCATCTTGGCGGCTTCGGTGGCCTCCCAGGTTCGTCTTGGAAACCATCTATGGCATCTGGGACGCATCTTGGGTGCATTGAAGAGCGCCTGGAACCCATCCCACCGTTGCGCGTGTATTATGGGTCATAATCGTCAGCGATGCTCGTGGCGAGCGAGACGGAGGAGGAGGAGGAGGAGGAGGAGGAGGAGGAGGAGGAGGAGAGGAGGAGGAGGAGGAGGAGGAGGAGGAGAGGAGAGGAGGAGGAGGAGGAGGAGGAGGAGGAGGGAGGAGGAGGAGGAGGAGGAGGAATAAGAGGAATAATAAGAAGAATAAGAAGAATAATAATAAGAATAATAAGAATAATAATAATAATAATAAAAATAATAATAATAATAATAATAATAATAATAAGAATAAAAAGAATAAGAATAATAATAATACTAATCATAATAAGAATAATATTAATAAGAAGAAGAAGCAGAAAAAAAAGAAGGAGAAGAAGAAGAGGAGGAGGAGGAGGAGGAGGAAGAGGAGGAGGAGGAGGAGGAGGAGGGGAGCGGTAGGATGGATCAGGGAGAAAAGGGCGGAGGCGGCTCCTGTGGGGAAGAATGTGGCCCTTCGCGGCAGGCTCCGGCGGCCGGCGCGTGGTGGACTCGCAAGTGCCCAACAGGGCGGGCTTGAGCGTCGTGGACGACTACTCGGTGGCGCCCCCAGCGCCCTGGCGGTCGGCTTGGAAATCGGAGCCTTGGAGCGTCTCCGGGCCCTTCCAAATATGGTCCGAGTGGATGGGGTCGGAGGATCGCGCCACATCGCCGATGCATCGCCAGTGCGGCTCAATGTGGAGCTCGATTTTCTCCACGCCGACGTCGCCGATACGCCGACGCCGCGGACGCATCGCCGATGCATCGACGACGTATCAGCGGTGCTGCGCGACCTGGAGGTTGTTGGCCGTTTTTGGGCTCTCTGGGCCCTCCCTGGGCCCCGGGACGGTTTGAAACGACTGAGGACGAAAAGCTGGTCCTGGGGGAAGGCTGGCGTAGGAATCGGAGCCCTTGGACGGAAGAAGCACGATGACCATGACCAAGATGTCGCGGGGCTTTGTCGGCGCCGATCTTGGTCATGGTCCATGCTGGTCTTCGCCAATTCGCGACGAGGATCCACGAATCCACGATGACCAAGATGGACGATTACCAAGATCGACGCCGATGTTTCCTCGTTCAATCTTGGTCATGGTCATCGTTTTCTTTCTCTCCAGCCCTGGAGCGCGTCAGCCTGATCTCCCCTGAGACTCAGGGCATTGTGATTTTCACACTGGGCACTTTCGCCTTGTTTCTTGCCCTGGGGTCCTCGCGGATCGGTGCGGCTCGAGAGGTGCCGCAGAAGTGCGTGTTGCCAGCGCTGGCCCCAAACATGGAGTTCTGGCACTCTGTATGTGCAAGCTACGTTGTGCAGTTTATATGGTTTATTGCGTGCAAGCTAAGTGGTGCAAGAAGTGTGGTGCAGGCGCTGCAACAGCACCAGCAGTAGTAGTAGCAGCAGGAGCAGACGCAGCAGTAGTAGCTGGCGTAGGGTAGTACTCGGTGCTTATTAGTGAGCAGATCACCCATTATCGTAATGCGGTCTCTAAGACGCATCACGACAGTAAGACGAATCATGTAGTTTGTTTAGAATATGTACCGACCACTACCACAAGTATTATTATAACACTGATTACTGAGAACAGTAGTGCCAGGACTAATGCTCATAACGCGGATTATAACGAGAACCGTACCAATGATGATATTACGGCTGATGATAACATAGGTTGGTGTGGCAGTAGCAGTGATGCGAACTATTCGCATCACTGCTACTGGTAGTGGTAGTATTCGAATTATAAAAAATCAACAGCACCAACTACTATCTGTAATACTATTATTGAATCGCTTCGCTCATTCCGCCGGCCCGTATTGTGCCATCGCGGGGTCTTGGGGGGTCTTGGGAGCCCTTGGAAGCTTCGTGGAAGCTTCTTGGGAACTTTGGGAGGCCTCGTGGATGGCTCTGGGTGGGCCCTCTTGGTGGTCTCTTGGGGGGGTCTGCCTGGCCTCTTGGGGGCCTCCTGGGAGCTTCCTGGGGGTCTCTTGGGGGGCTCTTGGGGCTTTCTTGC